TCCTCTTTTGCAGTAAAATAAAGCTCTGCTTTGACAACAGTCTCACCTGGCCAGTAGCTAACAAAAAGGTAAGAGAAAGATTTAAGATGAACAATCATTTGAAGATGAATAGACCTCTTTGTGTTTGTAAGCACTCAGCTGGTTTCCTGATATGTTTAATCTGCAACTAGAAACTGTCAAACACTAAAAAGTCACAAAGCTGTAGTCAGCTTCTCATTCACCAGCTTCTCGTTCGAATTCTCCTGTTCCACCTTAGTTTCTTGTAAAAAGTCTGTCAACGAATGAGGTGCAGCAGTTACATTCTAGCACCTCAAGCGCCATTTAAGGTGGAATGGGAAAATTCAAACAAGCAACTGGTGAATGAAAAGCTGACCTCAGCCTCATAAAAAGTCAAACATTGACAGAAATTTTACAAGAAACTATTCCACTTTTGTGGGAAAAGTTACCTGCCAGAGATGCGAGAAAAGCAGAAGTAAGCCTGCGTTTTCGTTTATAGGCTATTACATTTTTTAGCCTATTTTAGCATATAAGCACATACTGAGACATAATTACAGCCAAGATGGTGAAATGGATAAAATGTTGTGGCTCCCAAGGTGGCTTGATTTTTGTTGAAAGGACAAAATAGCTCTTCTTAAAATTTGGGTTGCTGACCCATGAACTCTGGCAAAAGGCTCTCTATGGCCTGAGTTCAACTGCCCTGACCTAAAAGGTAGCCTACATATATTGGAAGACCAAAAGTTCCTATTTTTTAATAAAAGTGTTTGATGTAGCATGTTGAAAGTGGTTACTGTTTTAAAATGTACCATTCACATGGAAATTAAGCTGCAAAAACAGCTTTTTCTGTCATCAAAACCAAAGCATTTATATACATCTGTCTTATTTTCCAATTACCCTACCAATGTTGCAGTTATAAGGAGTGTTTGAGCATGGATTGGTTTTTAAATGAGGCACAATTTGTGGCCAATCAGAACAAAGGTCATTTACATATGTCAGTTTTAAAGGCACAGTAAAACAGCCTGTATAAATGTTGGAAAACGGTCATGTAGAAATGATAAATTACTGTTTTTGGTTCACAAACCCACCCACGTCACAAGTGGACCTCACTGACATCTGAGAAAAATGTATATGGGCCCTTTGATGGAGACCAAACCCAGTGCTGTCACAAGTTTGACGTGGTTTGATGATCCCCTGACTTAACCACAAAGTAAAGCTGATTGTGACAAAGTAAATTCCTCAGAACAGTTTTCCATTTTCATTTGAGTTGTCGTGCTGTGCTTTTGTCTGTACTACAGGGAAAACGAAGGCCTTGTTGGGCTTTAATCTTTAATCTTTAAGTGGTGTTTTATGTCATTTTAGAGCTCCTGTGTGAGCCGTAGAAATGGAGTAAGCTGCATTTTCCTTAGCGAACTTATCTCAGGTCAAATTAGTTTGAGACTAGTTTACTGACTCCTTTTCATGCCATATTACCAAAATAAATGACAAAATGGAAAGTATTGCACCAGCACAATTTACACTATGGACCCTGTATCAATATTTTTTAACCCCTTTAATGGCCAGGGCCCACCAGTGGACCCAAAGTTTTATTACACACTTCTGTGATCAGCCAGTTTGCATCGAAGTCCCTGTAATTACTGAATAATAAGCCTTAGTATGTAATAAGCCTGGGATTTTAAGAGGTTAGTAAAGCAATCATGTTTGTCATTGTTTGATGTTGGGTACAATAGCAAGTTGCTATAGGGGTATGGGCTTTTTTACAATGAGGGGGCTGAGCCTAAACATAGAAAAAAGCATTTATTCTAAGTTTAATAGCACAATTGATAATTTATAAAAATAAAAGAACTTCTTAGTTCATAATGCATATTCTGTGTAAAGCTCTTGATTATTATCAAAAATCTTTTTTTTTATGTTGTTGTTATTGCAATGTCGTTACCCTTGCGTTCCTTTTCTGCTTGCTACAACCAAATCACAGCTGTGTTGCTATTTATGGTAACATATTCTCTCCCATGTTCTGTTTCTCCTGCATGCTGAAATATTTTTGAACACAGATTTCCCAGAAGAGCCTTTTCATAATAACATGATGTCTCAATGCTGTTACCAGACTCTATGCTCTAAGCTTTATATTCTCTGTTACTGAAAGCTTTTTTCCTTTATCAGAATAAGCTGATGCCAATAACAGGCTTTCATTTTTAGGCTTTACCAAATAAAATTACAATGTACAAAAAATGTCCAAGTTAACATGAAAGCATGGATAAATGCCATAAATTGTGTGTAAACATCACCACTAACATACACTAACGTAACAAAGGAACTCTCATGGGAGGGCAAGTGGAACTTAGCGCTATGCTAACGGTGGTAATCAGACATAAACAAAAGGTTCATACAAAGTGAACTGTGAGGTTTTGGTGTTATACATTGCGTGGCTGGCACGTTCATGATTTCACACTATCTGGTTCCCAAAGAAAGCATTCAAGAAGCAGATGGCAAGTAGCATGTAAGTCTACATAGATCTTTTTGCAATTGTTTAATTAAAATACCCATAATCCACTGGTTGGGTGTCTATGCCAATAGTATATGTACATGCACAGTGTATGTAGTAATGCATACACATGAACACAAACATACTAATGCCTATTCACAACAAAGACAAAGCAACAGAGAAGTGAAGAAACTTTTTTTTTTTTAATCTAGACCCTTGTGGTTGTCCTGGGTGATGTTTGTGTAATCTCTCAGGCTGTGGCATATAGTAACACATTTTGCCAAAATAGCTTGTTTTCCCTGTATTAAAGTGAACTGCAATTTTCTTCTGTTGATTGGGAGACATTTGGCATTGTTTTTGTTGGGCTATTTCATTGATTTTTTTTCTTTTATAGTCATATTTTTCACAGAGAAAGTGCATTTCTGAGTCAGCCTTACTGCACCAGGACTAGTCACACTACACTCTTAAAAAAAGATGGTTCTTCAATGGGTTCTTTTCTAAGACGATTGTTCTGTATAGAACCATGAACACTCAACAAACCATTTGCATGCTTATATGGTTCTTTGCAAGGTGAAATGGTTCTTCAGATTGATGGAGAATGTGTTGCATATGGTTCTATACAGAACCTTTTTGAAAATGGTTCTATAGCCCCAAAAAAGTTCTTCTTTTGTTACAAGCTTGATATTGTAACAATAGCAGAACCGCTTTTTGGTGCTGTATAGAACCATTGTCTTTACTAAAGAACCCTTGAAGAACCATCTTTTTTTAAGAGTTTAGGGCTGGTCTGTGGTCACTGAGCCTGAGACTCTGAGCCTGGTCAGGATCTGTTAAAGGGGAATTCCACTGGTGTTTTAAAATTTCTTTTTAATTCAGTTGCTGACATGTAGATAGTTTTCCTTGAAGAAAAACGGAACTGTTTCGTCACGTCTACAATGCAAAAATAGCTATTTTATTTACTATCCAAAATCTCCAGTGAATCTTTTGAGTTTTCATATGTAATGTTGTTAATAGTAAATGGTAGTGATAAATCTTTAAAAAAACATATTTGGGTACTATTTTGCCTAACTGCATGAACCAAAAGGATTTTTAAAAATACATTGTAGGCCAAAAGCTTATGTCCAGACTATCTAAAAACAATGTTTCAGACACCAGGCAGCATATTCGTAATCATTTCATTTAATAACTTTCTGTGAGGGCGCTTTTAGAGGCATTAAACTCTTCAGACGTCTGGTTCCTGTCACCACCACTGTGAACTAATCTCTCTGTAAGTTTCTCTTGAACAATCAAACCGCTCTGAACAACTTTGTTTACATCTTAACGATTACATTATGGGGGAAAAATGAAAATCGCTGTAATTCCCCTTTAGCATGGCAAGCCCAGCCCTTCTCTCGTGGAATGAGACTGAACAAATTCTTCAGGATGGCTTTCCATTTCCATCTGAGATGCCTGCCTTTGCGTGTACTACCGAGAAGAAACTTAGATAAAAGCCTTGTTAGCCTTAAATCTTTAATCTCGAACTGGTGTTAAGATCCAGGGGCGCAGTGTGGGCTGGGCTGTGAAGAAGGAGAAAACTGCTATTACCTTAGAAATCTTGTGCTGGGTTTCTCTCATTGGTAACTTAATAAAACGAAAACAAAACAAATGAAAATAAAGCAAAGTAATCCTTAAAAAACAGCGATAAATAATAATAAAAACAAAAAAACCGCCAGAATAGCTGCCAATGTTATTGGTTACCGAGCAACGCCTTCGCGCCCTCATACTGCGTCATTTCCGGCAGAAGCTGCGCGCGAGCGGCTTCAGTCAGAGTCCGTTCTGTCTCTGGTCGCCAAGCAACGGCGGCGGAGCTCGGAGCGAGCGAGTGTGTTTGTTCACCCCGAAACCTGTTACCGACACTGAAAAAGGAGGGATTTTCCACGCCCGGGATACTTTTTGTTGACTTTCCGAGGAAACTGGCACTTCTGAATCTAACTCCGCGGACACGGCTTCGTCGAAAAGCAACTTTTTTCTCTCTTTTTCGGGCCCGGCTGTTTGAGCGCTGTGGCTCGTCGTGTGAGGGAGACCTGAGGCAAACCTGGATGAAATGCGTTAAATGTAGCTTCAAGTTGAGAGTCTAAATGTTTCTGTTTGGGCTTTTTTGCAGCTTTCGAGGAGTAACCCGGTGACGTGTTGCTCCCGGAGACACCGGAGAAGCTGTCCGGTCTACTTGACCCCCTTTCTAAATTTAAGAGCGGACGACGGCGAGGCGGAGAGGGCAGCATTAAAACCAACAGTAGCCTCCCCGCGTTATGTCAGGTCACCAACGGCGCCGTTTACTCCGCGAGCCTCGCTGTTTAACACAATAAACTAACATTTTAGCGCGTGACAAAAGTGGAATGCTTTTTCATCTCGAAACTTTTCTCCACCGCTCGCGCTCTCGTCCTCGCGTAACCCGATCCTCCTAATATGCGTGCTGCCGCTGTGAACGCGAGCGGATCGCCGGCATGAGGAGCGGCGACGCCGGTGCCTCGCGCGCGCCCGCGGGACGATGAGTGCGGATCTGGAGCTCGAGCTGGAGCGCGTGTCGCTCGGCTCCTCGTCGGCCGCGTCGTCGTCCGGCGGCGCGCGCTCCCTCTCGGCGAACGTTCGGCGCCTGCACCGCGCGCTCAACGTCCTGCTGAGCGACGCCGAGCGCGAGCAGTTCGTGCACTGCCTGAACGCGTACCACGCGCGGCGCAACGTCTACGATCTCGTGCAGACGCTGCGCGTGATCCTGAACGTGCCGAGCAAGCGGCAGCTGCTGCCCATGCTGCGCCTGGTCATCCCGCGGTCAGACCAGCTGCTCTTCGACCAGTACACGAGCGAGGGGCTCTACATCAAGGCCGACTCGCTCGCGAGCAACGGGGACCCGGAGACACTGGCGCGAGCGCCAATCGAGGATGACGCGAGGAGCAGCAGTAGTACCACCACCACCACCGGCGGCGGGGGGAGCACGGCGGCACTCGTGCCACTGCTGGGCCCCCATTTCGTGCCGGACACTCCTGGCGAGGTCCGGCGCGTGACCCTGAAACGCCACAAGAGCCAGGAGGGCTTGGGCTTCAGCATCCGCGGGGGCTCCGAGCATGGGGTGGGCATCTACGTGTCCCTGGTAGAGCCCGGCTCGCTGGCCGAGAAGGAGGGGCTGAGGGTGGGGGACCAGATCCTGAAGGTCAACGAGAAGGTGTTCGACGCGGTCACGCACGCGGAAGCGGTTAAGGTAAAGTTTGTTGCAGATGAGAAGATTTTTGTTTGTTTGAGTGGGGTGTGTGTGTATTTGTGTTTGTGAGTTTGTTTTCGTTCATTTTTGGGACAGAAATGTCCTGACAGTGTAGTAGGAAACGCAGAGCAAAACAGACACACTGACACCAGCAAAATAATTCAGAACATGCGCATATACTTACATACAATGCTCTGCAAAGGTCTTAGACTCCTTAGCAAGTTGTTTTACACCATTTTTCTTGGCAGTAAGTGTGACTTTGTTTGTAAGATCACTACAAACATGAATGCAGTGAAAAGTGACAAAAATGCCTAGTTTAGAAAAAATAGCTGATACCTTGAGAGCTAGTTAGAACGGACGTCCAGAGAGGTCATAAGATAATGTCATTATTTTTTGGATTGCTATCTCGAGATAACGAGTTATTTATTTTGTTATCTTAAGATGACAAAGTTGTTATCTTGAAGTAACAAGCTAGTTATCTTGTTATCTCAAGATAACAAAGTTCTTATCTTGAGATAATGAATTAATTATGTTGTGATCTCAAGATTAAGTTGTTATCTTGAGATCACAACATAATTAACTTGTTATCTCAAGATAACAATCCAGAAAACTATGGCAACAGCTCATGGCCTCTCCGTATGTCTGTGAGTTAGAACAGAGAAGGTTTCCAGATTCCTCCTGGATGGCCGCAGCCATTGCATGAATTTGTTCAATTCCATCATCAGCATAACTGATTTAATGTAATCAAGCTGTGATTGAGCCAAACTAAGTATGGCTAAAAATTTGTTACAGATAATACTAGGTTGCCATGATGAGAGGTTTGGAAACGGTTAAATGACCCCTGACATAAACTTGCTACTTAGGTTATTAATAATATATGTATTTATTCCAATAGTGCGCAAATAAATGCTTACTTATTTTCTCAAGTGCTTAAAACCTTTGCATAGTACTGTATGGATACTACATATGAAGCATATTTTCTGTATGTCCTATCTAAAAGCAAGTGTATAAATGTGTCTGGGTAGGTGTGTGTGTGTGTGTGTATTTGAGACATGGGGTTGTGTCAAGGTCACTGAACCCTGTGCGGTCATTTCACAGCCACCTATTGACTGCCTAGGACTAAGAACATAGACTAATCTACTCCCAAATGAACGTAGGTTTGGGTTAGAGATACAATAGCAATATTACTGCTAATCTACTTTGTGTCCAAAAGTTTGTAGACACTTGCTCACCCAACATTTCTTCTGAAATCTAGGATATTACTAAGGTGTTTGGCCCTCTTTGCTCTTGTAATGGCCTCTATTGTTCTGAGAAGGCTTTACACTAAATTTGAAACATTACTGTGAGGATATGATTGCAATCAGCCACAAGAGCTTAACTGATGTCAGGTACTGATATTGCATGATGAGTTCTGGGTCACAATCACCAGCCTAATTCATTCCAAAAGTATTTGATGATGCTCTGTCACTCCAGAGAATACAGTTCCACTGCCGCACAGCCCAATGCTGGGGAACTTTGGCTCATGTGCAGCTGCTCCAGAGCCTGTGTCAGCAATGTGCGCACAACTGCAAAGATGATTCAGATGATGATTCAGAGTAGAGGCAAGGAGTAACTAATTACATTTAGTTACTTAAATGTACTTCTTTCTTATTCTTACTCAATTCTTACTCTTCTACTCAATTATATTTCGCAGAAAACAATCTACTGCTCAGTTTCATTTAGGCCTTTACGTTCAGTTCCTATTTCTTTTTTGGGCTTTATGTCATTCTGTTCTGCTGGTGACAGCACTTGGACTGTTTTGCTAGTGCTTATAACTCTCATTTCCAAGATGAAGCATTTTATTTTAGAGCAAAAGTTCCTGAAAGAGATGAGTAGTGTGTAATGAACTTCAGCTACTGTGCTGGATGATGGTGGATGTTCTAGGAAGTTATTTGGGGAACTCTGGAGGAGTATTTGGACTTGTGTCGTGTTGTTTTCTGGTAGCAGCTCTTACTTCTACTCAAGTCAGTATTTCGTAGAAATAACAGTACTTCCACTTGAGTGTGGTTTTAGGCTGTTCTGTCACATCTCTACTTCTGATTATTCATCCAAGGCAAGGGGCGTGTCTGTCACTGAACAAATCAGGATGATTAATATTCACTTTTATAAATCAGCACGGAAAGTCCATACAGCTGCCGATTTCATCGACCAGCTGGTTGGCTGGGTGTCTTACTCGACTAAATGACTGCACATTGCCTACTCATGTGTGATCGATAAGTCCTGTTTTCACATGTAGTTTCTGTACCTGCTTTATTTGATGTTAAAAAACACTCCCATGAGAATGTGAAGCTTATTTCTCCCTAATCCAGTGTTTTGTGCTTTCAAATGAGTGTTTTCACTTGGTGTGGTGCAGAATGCTGTAGGCAGTCATCAATTAATCTTTGGTAATGTGTTTTTGTACCTTTTCACAATACATAGTTGTAGCTGTCCAAGGTGCTGAAAGGCTTTTCTTTATATGGAGTGAATTCTGCAGGTTCTAGAGGGCTGGGCTCCAGCATAATGTGGGCATTTCCCCAGCTCTAGCATACACTGTATGGTCAAAAGTTTGTGGACCCCCCTCTATATATTAAGTTAAGGTGTTTCAGCCACACCCATAGCTAACAGGTGTATAAAATCAAGCACATAGTCATTCAGTCTCTAGACAAATATGAGTCATACTGATAAGCTCAGTCACTTTAAATATAAGTGAATCGCACTGCACTATCTGGCAGTCTGACGATTCTGTGTTTGGCAGATGCCAGGAAAAGTGCTACCTAGTGGAATGCATAGTGCCAACAGTATAGTTTGGTGGAGGAGAGATAATGGTCTGTAGCTGTTTTTCAAGGTTTGGCCTGGACAAAGACATTTAAGCAATTATATACTTCCAACTTTGTGGCAACAGTTTGGGGCAGGGCCTTTTCTGTTCCAGCATGACTGTGCCCCTGTGCACAAAGCAAGGGCCACAAAGACATGGTTTGATGAATTTGGCGTGGAGGAAGTTCAGTGGCCTGCACAGAGCCCTGACCTCGACCCCACTGAACACCGTTGGGATGAATTGGAATGTCAGTTGCAAGCCAGGCCTTTTTATGTAACATCAGTGCCTAAATGTGTCTGAGTAGGTGTGTGTATGTGTGTGTATCTGAGAGATGGGGGTTGTGTCGAGGTCACTGAATACCGTGTAGTCATTTCACAGCCACCTATTGACTGCCTAGGATTAAGAACACAGACTAATCTACTCCCAAGTGACTGCAGGTTTGGGTTAGAGTTAGAATAGCGGAGTCGCTGCTAATCTACTAGTGTAAGTCTTATGTCAAAAAGTTTGACACTTGCTCACCCAGCCTTACTTCTGAAATCTGGGGTATTGCTAAGGAGTTTGGCCCCCTTTGCTGCAATAATGACCTCTACTCTTCCGAGAAGGCTTTACTCAAAATTTTTAGAACATTACTGGGAGGATTTGATTGCATTAAGCCACAAGAGCATAAGTGATGTCAGGTACTGAATTGGAACGTCAGTTGCAAGCCTGGCCTTTTTATCTAACATCAGTGCCTGACCTCACAAAGGGGCACAATTTCCTACAGATACACCCCAAAAATTCTGTAAAAAGCCATTACTGAAGAGTGGATGCCGTTATAGCCGCAAAGGGGGGTGGGGCAAATCCATATTAATGCCCATAGTTTTCAAATGAAATATCTATTAACCTAATATAGGTATGATGATCAGGTGTCCACATACTTTTGGCCATATAGTGTATAAGTTTTACCAGGTTTGTAGTGAAAGAAAGATACTCAGTAAACTTTGAGAGAGCAATATCTCTCTGATGGCTGACCAGTTCCCATAAAGGCTCACAAAACTTCAATATCTTCAGAAACTTCTGCCACAGTATTTCTGTATATAGCACATTTCCACCTTCCCTGGGGCGTTGCTGAGGACCCCTTTACTCTCAGCGGTTTCTGGCTGCTTAAAATACCTTTGGGGCTTTATGATTGAGTAAACGCTTTAAAGTCTTTCTGTCTCATTGCTTTTCTCCCTTTCTTTTCTCTGCCACTGGGGAACAATGGTATTGCAGGTAGGCTATAAATCCCCTGCATCACAGCCCTAAACATGCAGAGAAAGGCAGGAGGGAGGAGGCAGCGCTTTCATAATACAGGCCTGTATGGGTACACTGATGGATCTACAGCCCGGGCTAAAGCAACGTTCACATTATCATGGAAAATGCACATTGCATGCTGCTTTGTACAGTGGTACGATTTAACAACTCCAGCGCTCATCACAGTTGAACTTTTGCTGCTGCGCGCTGTGGTTTGCGCACCACAAGGTGGAATAAAATGGCTCTATTGAAGTTTTCTCCACAATAATGTAAATGCTTCTTAAAGCTGCCTACAGATTGCAGGTTTTCCTATATGGAGAGACAGTTTTGCTTAACCTATAGCAGGAGTTCCCACTCCTAATCCTGTGGTACCCCTGCCCGGCACATCTTCAGTGTTTTTCCCAGCTCTAACTCACCTGCTTCAACTCAGGAAGGGTTAGTTACTTATCTGATTAGTTGGATTAGGTGGTTTAGAGCAGGGAAAACACCAAAGTGTGCAGGGCAGAGTTACTGTAGGACCAGGATTGGGAAACACCGACCCAGAGGCAGTGCTCCATTGGACATTGCACACTGCTTGAATTGTATGCTGCTTTGCTCAATGTTCAGTCTTTCAGCTCTCTTTTGTCACATTCAGCTTTGACCCTGTTTGCCACTGACCTTTCAAAGTGAACCCAATGAGATTAATTGCTGTAAAAACTGGGTAACACTCTCTTCTACAGTCCCTTAGTTCTAGGTATTTACCAGGAAAGTGTGAGGTAAAAACTCCAAAGTACTAGACAGTTATTTTGGGTAACATGACAATAAGTTCTGGGGCAGTTGTGGGGTACACTCTCTAAAGTGCTGTGCAATTTTGTGTGGTAAAATGATGATAAGTATCAAGACAGTCTAACTACAT